TCGAAAGTTTCCAATATCTTGGCAGCCAAATAGCGTCGGACGGCGGGACCAAGAGCGACATAGGTGCACGAATCAAGAAGGCTAGGGCTGCCTATGCGCGTTTACGAAACGCACCAAAATCCGAATTTTCAACTCGAACGTGAAATCTGTGTTGTTATACGCCAGCGAGACGTGGTGTGTATCAGCGGAGAACACTCAAAAGCTGCAGGTCTTCATCAACCGATGCCTGTGGTATATAATTCGTGCCTGGTGGCCTCACAACTAGATCTCGAATGCCGAGCTCCATCGTCGATGTGATCAGAAGCCGATAGCAACAGAAATTCGAAAGCGAAAGTGGAGGTGGGTCGGCCACACACTTCGACGGGGCGGAAACGAAATCTGCAAGCAAGCGCTGGATTGGAATCCGGCAGGACATCGCAACAGAAGCAGACCCAGGGGCTCATGGCGGCGGAGCCTCAATAAGGAAATTAAGCAAGTCGATAGAAATCTGACCTGGGCCCAGGTCAAGGCAAAAGCGAGCAGCCGCCCAGGATGGAAGTCTTTCACGTTGGCCCTTTGCACCGCTGGTGGTGCACAGGACCCTTAAGTAAGTAAGTATACACTGAGGAAAATAGACTTAAGAATTTCATAAGGCTCAACTTATGAACAACACATATGAATGTCATAACTTTTCGTCTAACATGAGGTTGCTTGTATACGCTTTTCAGGGTTGCTTCCAATCACTCGCTATAAAAAATTGTTTTTCGGAATTATGAAATCATGTTATATCATGTCATGTTATAATCACTTTTTCCCATCACAGGAACGTTTTCTGATAACAAAATTAAGCATTTTCGTGCACACAACGCACAAAACGCTTGGTTTATTCAATAGATAATAAAAAAGCGTAAATTGATAGGAGGAATGTCTTGCTAAAATTTTCCAATTCGAGATATTCGTGATCAATCAATATATATTTTTTTTTGCTTTTTTCTAGAGTCCTGGAGAAAACATTACCTTAATTCAAAGTTTTTCTGGTTAATTGACAAGTGGTATTCGGTCATTGCGAGAATTTTTATGTACCACCTCAATACTGTAACGCATTTGACCACAAAAGTTCTGTTGCTGGGTACATTATCGAAGAGCTTTTGGGGGTGATGTGGCTGGCAGCAAGCCGAGCGAACGTTCAGTGAAAATTAACTCTTAAACAACAATAATTGATGGTGATCCTGAAAAGAACCGTTTTGTCGTGATGGTTGAGTAATGCTGAGCTATTAGGGTGTTCAACACGGATGAGGCTGGCGAGCTGTATGTTGTTTAGAACGAGGGTGATGCGCTTGGCAAAGATGGTCCACACCGGCTCACGAAGAGCTACTGAATTCGATCAGTAGCGGCGCGGTTTCTTCCTCTTCTTCGGTGAATGGACGCTCATGTGGGCTGCAACATGCTGCGCGTGAGAAGCGTTGTGTACTAAAGAACAATCTTCAACGCCACGCGCCGAAAGCACTGCTGCTGCTGCTGCTGGTGACGACCGACTGGACACCATGCTTGGCATACACAGTTTTGGTCACGAACTGCTCATTTGCTAATAACTTTGCACACCGTTGACGAAACATAATTCTTTTTGAAGCAGTAGATAGAATAGAGTTTAAGCTTGTTATAGATGCGTTACAAAAAGTAGATTTAAATTCTAATAATAAACTGTATTTGATTTTGCTTTGTAAAAATGAAGTGAGAAATGCTCGATGCACATCTAGGACTTTAAGTGTAAAAATTCATTGATGTTGATTCAAATATTAAGATTTACTCTTACTCTTTGCATGTCTATAGTAAACTATGATCCTAATCTATCAATTACTTTGAAGAAAAACAAATTTCAACAACTGCGTGAAAAGTTATTAACAAATGAGCAGTTGGTGTGTACAACTGTGCATGCCAAGCATGCCGAACACCACCACACACGGTGAGCGCTTTTTGCAGGCAATAGGTGATAATTTTGATCAACAGTTGGACGTTTGTGTAATTTTGACCAATTGAAAATTGATAAAGTGTTCATTTTAACAGATTCTTAGCAAAATTTCTTATAAACGGTCAAAACCTGACCACTTTTCGTAACGCGGTCGATCTTGCGATTGTTTTTTTTTAATTGCACCCCCAATATTTTTTCCGAAAGACGTTATCCTACGTCAAAAGGTGCTAGATTTAGCTATGCTTATTTTTTTTTTGTTATAAAGTTGCTCCATATACACACCGTGATACACGTTTTGTACCGGTGACGCGTGGATGTACGGATACTCATCTCTGATACACTTAATTCTGTTTTCATGCGATTTTCATTTTCCGATTTTGCCCTCATGCAGAGTAAGCTTTTTTACTACTACTATATATTTCTTTGATTTATTTGTAATTTTTTGAAAGAAGTCAAACCAACAATTAGAAGCGTAAAACAGAATTTAAGGTGATACGATACGTCACGCTTTTTTTGATTTTTTTCTCTCCTTTCTATATGTCAGTGAATTGATTATCATCGATGCTGTAGTGGTGTAAGTGTACATCATGCACTACCGCAACGACCGTAAACATAGCTGCTAGAGTTCGTTATTATTAGGTCGAAGGTGTAACAGAGACTATCACTACATTTCTATTCCATTTGCCAATATTATCGACCTACCACCTCCCAGGACACCCATTCCTATAAAGAAAATAATTATACGCCTTGCCACCAACACCAACATGTCAAGTCATCATAATAGTTAATTGATTCAACATCACATTTTGTACACTTTGGTTACATACGACCTGTCCAAAAGTGATTCCAGATCTTCAACTTCCAGGTACACGGTAAGAAAAAAGATCCCAAAGGACTCAATTTTACAAATCTCGGCATTATATTGCAGGCCAAAAGTAGGTAATGTGGATCGAAGACTTTTCATTTGATTGTATTCAATTAGTATGGAATTGACAATTCGCTTCTACCCAAAAATAGTTAGTTGTACCCAAAAGTAGGTGAATATGATTATACTCAACGTGATTATACTCAAAGTCAAAAGTAGGCAAAAATGAACGGGTCGGTGGATATTTTTTCTTATCGTGTGTGTTTGTTTTTGAATCATCCTTTTGCCGCCTTTTGCATATCAGCTGATGGCTTCGAGCAGTGCAATCATTTTTTTTTTCTTTTTTTTTTCTTTATTAGAGAGATTTTTAGCCATAGGCTAGTTCATCTCTTAGCAGTGCAATCAGAACGACACATATGTTTTCTTTAGAGGAATACTAGGATCATTTACTTTAATTTTTTGTCTTGAGAAACAAAATAAGAAATTGTTTTAAACATTTATTTGTAATGGGTTCTACATTGAACACAGTTTAAGCACTTTAAAAAGCAATAAAAGCATTGTTTGTTCACACTTTGTTTCAATTAAATCGACAACCCTGGATCAAGGTTGCAAATACTCTTTTCAGCTAAAACAATGTTTTTCTAAATTATGAAATAATTAGATGCCATGATCAAATTTTGAATTGGTAGGATACAAGAAGAGGTTGCAAAAAATGTGTTTGACATATTACACCTGTTTATTTCACTTCATGAGAGTCACAATCAGCGATTTTTCACAAACTCACTCACTCACTCACTCACTCACTCACTCAGCGATCAGCAAATCGCTGATTGTGACTCATAGAAAGCAAAATTTGCAGGTTTTATGTTTCCAACGCATACTTTGTAACCTCCTCTTGTAAGTTACAAGTAAAACATGCCATCATACCATCTTTTGGTTTTATTATTCCGAAAAACATTATTTTAGCTGAAATGAGTCTTTGCAACCTTGCCCTGGATACGATGATAAATGATTCGTACGCACACCTTCGTAATGCGGTGTGTAGAAAAAAGGTAAACAAAACAGTTTCAGCTTGCAAAATTATTCGTGGCTCGCGTTTTTAACGATGCAAATGATATTATTTAAGTAAATATCGTTTTTAAAATGAATTAACTTGAAAGTGCTTGTAGAAGCACGTGTCGTAATTGTTTTTAGTGCGGTTCTGAGAAGTGAAAGCTAGTGAAAACAGTTATTGAAATTTCATGCCCTAGGCAGAACAAATTCGGCTGATCGTACTTTTTAATGCAAATATTACCAATGTGTGAATTAATTAAAATATGTATCCAGATCTTATTCATACTATTCGGGCCCATTTTTTAAGGTATGTAATTAGTAATTTACTGTTTTGTAGGAAGATGCCTTTCGTACGCATACCAAAACACGTTTATTTAATGATTGTAGGACAGCCATTGTTGCATGACGTGCCGTATCACCGTAAGAGGAAGTTTACCGGCCCGAAAATAAAAATTTGGGTTTGGCACGTTTTTATTTTTCTAAAAATAATGGAAAAAATTATCAAAGATCCAAGAAAATCAGTTTCTTCCTTAAATTCCTGACAAAAACTACATTTAAACATATTGCTTCTATCTCATCATGAAAAAAAATTGGACTCTCAACAAAACCAAAAAGTCGATATTTTGTGGTTTTTTGAGTCCAACTTTATGCCGTGATGACTTAAAAAAATATTTTTTTACCTGAATTTTCTTTGGAAAATTACAAAAAAATGTGTTTAGATTTTTAATATCTTTTTCCAAAATTTAAAAGAAAATCTAAACGCAATTTTTTTTTCGGAGCAGTACACTTCCCTTTAAAGCAATTCCATGTTTTCTCAGGTGTTAATTTTATTTAGATAACGTTATGCCATTTCGTAGCTTTTCTCTGTCCTAAAGATGATAACTGATCACGCCAAGAGTAGAACAAACTGTGTCTGATCCTTATCCAGTTAAATGATTATCTTAACTCAGAGCAGCACAAGTCCCATACAATCTTCCTATACTCGAATTTAGGTAGCGCTATATCCGCTTGTTTCGGAACACTTCAGGCGACGTCATTAAAAGTGTAAAAACTCATAAAGAGAACACCAAGTTTCACCTTAGAAATAAAACCAAAAAAAAAAATTAAACTATAATCTATTCAAGGTCTACTTACTTCCACACTAGTAACGACGATATAAAAATGACTAACAATAGTAGCACTGAACACAGCACAATCATGGCGGATGTTTGGAATGATGGACTGCTATGATAGCTGGCATCGAGGATCTGAAACGAGAGAAATAAAGAGAGAAACAATTAATACTCGCGCACTCCCACAAACACATGCACATGAACGAGAAACGATTAGCTCACGAAGGCCCGAGGAAAACAAAACCAAAAACGATCATCGTTAGCAGAGATCTGAAATGGGTCCGGGAATTGGTACCTCAAGATCATAAAAGAGGCAGATCGCAGAAGCAATTAAAAGCAAACATTTCGTTAATAACTTAATTAAGGAACCCTTTGCGGGTGAGAAGTTGTGATGTCGGCAAATGTATTCACGTATTTAAATATTTGTTTGGAACCGACTCCAACACGGAAGCCACTGAATTTAATTGCTGTTCTTGGCAAATCTAACATCAAAGTGGCAAATTCCAGCTTGTTCAACTAATTGAAAAACCTTGAACCGTCGTGCCCTGGGTTGGTCCGGGACTGGTAGTAAGTTGAAATTCAATTTGAAATCCGATTTCGTCCTCCTATTGGAGAAAGGAACTCGATTTCAACAAAAGCGAAAAACCAATCTCGCACCATCATATCGTGTGTCATTAAATTACGTTCCCAAGTGATCAACTGGGCTCCGGTCAGTTGCTGCTATCTCTCTTTGATTGACCTTTTGGATCGCCGACCGGCGAGTCAAGCGATGTTTCGGATTAAATGTAATTGAAAGCGACGAAAGCCTTTCTCCGAGTTCTCAGCACACTTGCGCTTGGCGTTAGGTATAGAAAGCCACGACCGTCGTCGTCGTCGTCCGGTAATTGAAAATTGCTCATACTTCGCGAACACAATGGGAAATTGGTTTTGCTCCTGGCCCCAGCCCACTCGTTTGCTCAATCCTTTCGCGCCCGCCCACGCCCACGTAGATACCTGGACATTGTTTGTAGTTCACCATACTCGAGTCTTCGAAGCCAGCAGTGGAAGAACTGACCAACCGTCGTCGGATAATGGGATTGAATCTACTCTCAGAAAGAGTAAAGTATTTTTGCTCCTTTTGTTCGCTCTTATCGAGAAGGATGGAAATGGAAACACGTCGGTATTTATCTTCCCATACTGTGCAGCAGTGTTTGTTCTAAGAACGGACAATCGAGACCTTCATAGTGCATCATATAGTTGCATTAATGGCCATCAGTCTGCAGTCCTTCTATTTATGACTTGCGGTAGGCAAGTCTGCTGGTGTATGGTATTGAATTGACTCCAACGTGAAACAGGGTCATCATCATATCCATGAGTGTATGCGCGCGTGTGTGTATATGTATGAGTACACTCTTGGTTTGGACAATGGCCCTCTGTTGTTTATCGTGTTCATCATTGGATGGCTTCTCTTGGAAAAGGATATTTTCTTCAGCAGAGCGTCAGACGGAGACCTTTGTTCCAACTGCCATTTGATACTTTTCGTGTTTATCGTTTTTCTCAAAACGACTCAATTACAAATTCCGAACATCTTAATGTTGAACAATTCTGTTTTGAAATGTAATTATTATGGAGTCAAATGGAGAGCTTCTTGCAGACAGTTCTATCAGTTGTGTAAAAATGGATTTCGTTATTATATTACAGTCTGAAAATTGCATATAGAAAGTAGAATGCGAGCAAAGGAATATTTTGAGGAAGGTACGAATCGGACCGAGCATTCCCTTTACGAAACTCATCCGTTGATGAGGGGCGGTAAGGGGGGCTTCCCTCAAGTCACTATCTGACGTAAGCATGTAGTCGGTGGTTTTGAAACACCCTTTAACGTCCCTCATCAGCGAATGAGTTTGATAAAGGGAGTGATTGATTCGATTCGCATCTTCCTCAAAATTGTCCTTTGCTCGCTTTCTACTTTCTTTGTGCAATTTTCACGCTGCTGTCCTATAACGGAACTAACAATTCTATACTTCCATCTCTGTATGAAATGTTCACTTTAAGTCTGATATTGATGATAAGTATCTCCAAATATTTTATTTTTAGTTTCAGGTTGAAACAGCTGTTTAGATAATGAACTTTAAAATCATATTAACTTTGATTCCATAATAAGATATTTTGTTAAATTTCAAGCGATAACAATTTGATTAACATTATGCTGATCGTAGAAATACAACCAATCTTATAAAGCAAGAGATTACTAAAGTAGCGAAAAAGCATATATGTTTATAGATCGTAAAGATCGCAACAAATGGTATACAAAGCGAGAGATTGTAAGGAAAGTGAGAGATCGTCAAAAGTCGAGAGATCATGGAACAGCCTATATATTGTGGAGAACTGAGAGATCGTATTCAGCGAGAGATTGTAGACAGTGAGAGATCGTAGTGTACCCCACACGACAGAAGTTTCGTCCAAATTTCCGTCGATATTTTCAACAATATATTCCAGGCATTGCGGCAACGAAACTCGTTGTGGCAAAAGTGGTGAAAACCTCAAAGAGGATTCTTGCCACAAAGAATCAGTAAAATGCGCTTACTGTGGCGAGAATCGTCACCCCTTGCAGGAGTGCCCGATGTACAAGCAGCTCTCCAATAAAGTGTAGCGTTCAATCTCTGGACGCTCCAAGCAGTCATATGCACAAATGGTAAAGGTTGCATCAGCCGTCCAAGATGAAAACCAATTTTTGATTTTGTCAGCTGAAGAATTGGACTCTGACTTATCCGATGAGGGTGATTCTACGGCGGTACACGCACCTTCAAAAAAGAAAATTCCCTCCCCGAAAGTGTGCCGTAAGTAAACTAAAGTCACCACTAAAGTCCAAAAGATTGCCAAATCCCCAGGGTAATGGGGTTGAAAAAAACAAAACCGAAGGCTCCTGCTGATCTAATCCCTGGCTGCAGCAAGAATGTGTTACCCTTTTAACAAAATTTCACTTCCTGCTCTATCAGGCGTCGAAATCGTCGCTTGCCAAATAAATGTGAAGAATAAAAATCGCTGCTTAGCTTAGGTATACGTTCCACCAAGAACCTCCATTAGCCGTAGTCAACTCTGGAATCTAGTTTCGATTCTTTCATCCCCAGTTTTAATTCTGGGTGATATGAACCACCATGGTACTGGATGGGGCGATCTATACGATGACAATAGAGTGGTTTTTTTTACGATTTATGAGACGATTTCAACTTTACTATTTTAAACGCTGTTGAAGCGATACGTATAGCAAAACCTCCGGCACGAGAAAGCCGACTCGACCTAGCCTTCCCAAGTAATAATTTAGCAGCCTTTTGGCTTTCACACTGATTTATTGTTGATTTATAATGGCAATAAGCAATCTTTTAAGTTTAAATACAGCATTTAAAAGTGCAACACATCTTGGTCAGTAGTTCAGCATTTTTCTGTTTTAAAACCTTTTAAAATCAAAACGGGTCTGGTTAAAAATGAATTTAAAGCAGCCCTCTATCCCTGAATAAAACTATTCAGTTAGTCAATCATAAACCTGCTCGGTATATTTTCATTGATGCCACGACAAAATACTCTATAAAGGTATTTTATCATTATAAAAGCAATTATAAAACCGTTCGGTTTCAAACGGAAACAAAAATAATATATTGCTGCTTTTTGGTGTCAATAAAGTATATCACAAAACTCCCTACTGTTTACAAACTAAATTAAAAATATGGATCCGCCGACAGCAAAAAAAAATCGAATGGAGCTTTTAAAGGAAGAATCACTAGGAAATGCCAAGGGATAGTCGAATAATAATACTAGCGATAGTAGGAGGAATAATTATAGCGCTGCTGTCCACGGAAAGGAAAAGGACTCCAATAACAGAACTTCCTGGGAGGTCCAGCAGCTCTGACTAACCCGGTCAACAATGACAGAACAGCCGACTGAGGAAAGTGAGTGAATGCGGTTCAAGTTAGACGCTTAAAATTGATGGGAATACCCAAAATGTTGCCAATGGCGTTTGCGTTACGATCTGAATAAACACAGACCAACCTTCTCTAGAAATCGCGTTTCGATGATGATTCGAATAACATGCATCAGTGCCAAACTGGGATTGCGGAAAACTGGCGATAGGAAACTTCAGAAGCTGTCAGTCAGCTGGAAACTGACTTCCCTCCCAAACCATAGCAGTGGCTTGATTCGGCGAAAGGGTCAACTGTGCCAACAAATCCCAGCCAGCTTGAGCTTGAGCTTGATTGACCGCCCACGGTTGCTACTCTGTTACTGCCAGATCAGCTGTAATTACACAGAGAACCAATAGACGATGCTTGGGACTAGCAATCATCCTCAATGTGTAAAAACTGGTGATCTTAAATTAGGCAATACCAGCGCCGGCCGCGCCCGAACACAGGTCAAGAAAGGAATGGGAAGGATTGTGTTGACATGACACTCGCTTTGATGGAAGCCGAGAACACCTCTGCACTTCCACGAGGAATCACTGGGATGCTGGATAAGAGGGTTGGGTTTGCAGCAGGGTTCGTTTTGGTAAACGATAAGCTGAATTGATGTCCTAACGATCATATAACGCGAAGGAGCTTGGGACTAAACCCACGGTCTTCTGTTCAGTAAGGAAAAACGTTAGCCACTAGGCAGACGAGCACCTTTTTAATCACCGAGTTGCTGTTATTACGATGTAGTCATATTAACAAATAAAACGATTGACGAATCTTGAATGTGGATGGGCCTGAGATTAGACTCATAATGTTCTGCTAAGTAAGCAAAAACGGTTGCTCTAAGGCCACCGAGCCCCTCATATCACATAATACCGTTGCTCAAATTTGTGTATCCATTCAAACCCGGAACCTACGACAACAACGAGTTTCGCAAAATACACGATACACAAGCGATTTTACCATAAATCTCTTTGATATGTAAGGACCTGGGACCGCATTTTTCTGCTCAGTAAGCAGGCCACTGTAACCGACGATCTTTCAAATCCGAAAACTAAAAACTACGAAAAAGTACTTAGGCCTTCATTAAGTTCCACTTTAACGCGACGTTCAATGACAGGGTCCTATCCAGGATTACATCTGAAAAATCCAAATCTGGCCAACGCCCACCCTAAACCTAAACCTGTTCTAATCCACCTGAAATGACTAACGAAT